CCCCCCCCCCCACACACAAAATAAAATATGTTCCGCGGCCCCTGGCGTCTATAGATATTCAATACGATTAACAATGGTTGATGACGATTAATAGAGAACGATAATGAACCAATGGGAGCAGCTCTGATGTAATCTCAAATTAACCGAGATTCTTTATTAATTATAGCGAAAGAGCAAGAGACCTAAAATTGACAACCTGCTGAAGACTCTTAATGAAATTGGTGGTGACGAGGGATGGTGGCCAGTTTGTTCTGATGTGCTTGAGTTGTAGTAATTATAACTTATTTGAAAACAGGTCGGAATTTTGTCATCGTAATTTTAAAACGAATTCTATGTAGCGATAGCCTTTTTAAACTGTTAGGTAAGTATAATTCTATGTAGTTGCCTTTTTGTCAAATGTATAATAGTATATGGTCCATAAGCTCGAACTCTGCCCCCAAAGTTGAGCTAAATTTGCATATAGTTGCAGTCGATTTCACATATTGCGTTTGCCAAAATATTCCTAATTTCGTTTCGAACTTCGCAAATTCGTTAATGCGAAGTTCGAAAGTTTAAAGTTACGTAGTTCGTAAATTCAAAAACATGTTTGTAAACGAAGTATTTGATTGGCTTCTTGCAACTCATGGACCAATTAGAGGCTATGCTTACAGACCGGCTTGCGAATTTCAATACTGAACTTTTGAACTTCAAAACGAATTTTGCGAACTTCTGAATGATGACTGTTCGGAACATTGGTAAACGTTTTGCGAAATCGACTGTATAACATGACCCCAACCAAACCCCTTATATATTGCATGTAATTAATAACGCGTGCGCAGACAAAATTGCGACCTGTTTGTTAGGATATTGTATCCTATATATATACATGATCATGGAAATGATGCAAGGGGTTGATTTTACGAATATTATGCCGGATAGCGCTATCCATGCACCAGATAGTTTTTTTAACCGTTACAAAAATGCTTTTTTAACCGTTACAAAAAATCTATAAAATTACAGATATATGGACGTCATAATTAATAGAAAGAAACTTTAAATTGTAAATGCTAAAGTTTAATACAGGTTATACCAATCAGCGTACAATTTTAGCAAGCTTGAAAGAATCTCTATATCCGGTGGATAATGCTATCCGGTGAACCCATGCATGCAGAACATTAAATTTTATAACAATAGAATTGATGTTAATTCGCAATCATAAATAATGTTTTTAGCCCGAGTCAGACTCGAGCTTAACGAGAATCATCAGTCTAGTGATTGGCGATTTTTGTTTTATTGATTATTGTATCGATTGGTTAAATAAGTGCTTGATTGTTTATTTGATTAACTCATTGGTGATAATGATTATTATTGGGGTTTTTTCCCGGGCAGCCCGGTTTTCCCCGAATACTATACCCGCACTGGGTCCGGTTGTGTAAAAATGGTAGTTACAGTTAACTATATATAGCCTGTGTTATGCACATAACATTACTGACGGCAAAGTAAGGTCTGCATGTGAACTTTTGCGCGATTGCTTGTTGCTATTAAATCCTGGTTTGGGGATTTCATTTATTCAAATTTGCAATAAATTCGTTCGCATTATCGAAGTTTGAGACAATTCTAAGAATCTTTTATAGCTTTTGCACGATTGTCCTAACATTCGAAATATATGTGATTTCGAATCATGTGCTATGGTTTATGTAAATCAATTGTGGCGAAACTGGAATTTTATATTTTCGTGATTCTTTCAACCGTTACAAAAATACTCAAGAGGTGGCTCCCTACAGTTTACTAGAAAATGGAAGATCTCCGATTTAGACCCAATTTTTCGACAATTCCTATATGTTTAATTTAAAAGACAAAGAAAGTCCGACAAGAAAAATAATAACTACAGAGTTGGATTTTTTCGAAAAAAGAAGCGCCATCCATGACCATAACAAAATATTAAAATTTACCCAAACGCTATAGGCCTAACAATTTTTCCTTATTTGAAATGGCTATATGTATGCATGTATGAGTTCTAAAAGTTTTGAATGAATTTCATATATGCAGCGATTTCCGTATTTATACAACCGGTCCCTGTAGATTAGAAAATATAAAAATACATTATTAAGTTAAATAGAACTATAAACATGCTATACTATAGGTTAATTACTAATACAATCAGTGACAAAACACTTTGGACAAAATGGCAAAAGAGCGTACGTTTACGACATTATCGACCCCCCGTTCAATGTTGTGTGTGGAAATACCTGCGCAAAATGTTCCTTGCCAGCGACCCGACATTGTTTAGGGTGGGGGTAGGGAAGGATAGTGCTATTATGCTGAACAGTATTTGGAAATTGGCAGATATGTCTATATTATATCACTGTCCAGAAAAACCTTTTGTCACTGATTGTAGCATTTTGCATGAAAATTCATAGAATTAGTATTGTCTTTGACGTTCTTTAAGTGACGTTATATATTAAGTGACATAATTAACAAAGATGGTTTTAGCTGTAAAAATATTATGTAATTGTAATGTAATGATGATGTAATATATAATACAGTGCATGAAGGCAGTAAGAAAGGCTGATAGAAATAATTGCTTTCCGAATTTCGCTAATGGCTAAGGGACCGGTCATTATTTATGGTGGGGGGTGGCACCGAAGAGAAATGTTTTTCGTGGCAAAAATTTTGCTGACCCAACTATTAAAAAGACAAAAATTTGATTACCCAACCACAAATATCAATTAAAAAATAATTACCCACCCCTGGCCAAAAACGTTACAAAAAGATACCATTCAGTTGTCACACATGTCCTTTACCACTTCTGTGACATGAGTTTGATAACGGCTTGTGAAATTTTCTGCAGTCTAAAATTTCATGTTGTCTGCACATGTAATTTCTTTGGAAACACCATTTGTTTTGTCAAAATGATCAAGATAGTGACTGTGATTGATTCACATATTGTATTGACAAATGACTGTTGAAATTGCTTTTCAATCAACAATATTTTGACAGTGAGTCATGTTTTTGAAATGACATTACCCAACCCTTGAGTTGTTTTGTTTTCCATTTACCCAACCTTTTACTTACTCAAAATTTTGTTTACCCAACCCTTTTCTCTTCGGTGCCACCCCCCGCCATAAATAATGACCGGTCCCTAAAAAGGATGGACGAAAGGGAGTTCAAGATTTAAAACATGCAGCGTTCGCTTTAGTTTATTGTTAATGTTAGGTTCAGTGTAAGGTTTAAGATTGTTATAAGTGCATGATTGTTGATTCTTTGGTGTTTTAACGATCCTGGAAAACAGCCGCCATCTTAAAAGCCTTGGTCTCGTCCATACGAGGTCGGGGTCGTAGCTAAAGGCGGATTTCATTCAGTGCAAAATGTCGCACGATCGATTTTTTGCGATCGCTTTCTTTTGAAATGTATGCAGTCTACTACAGCTAATGAGATTTGTTCCGCTTGACTGTTTGTACACGCATGTATTTCAAAAGAAAACGATCGCAAAACGTCGATCGCGCAACATTTTGCACTGAATGGAAATCCGCCTCAAAGGCGATCCCAGGGCTTCTGCGCTTAGAAGCCATATCTATGTTAGAAGCTCTGGGTACGAGGTTGCAACGACCCATGCTTTTTGTCTACAGTCAACTTGTTTTAGAAGGCAGCAATTTAAAAGGGATATTTTCAATAAAACTGCAATATTTTTGCGACCATGAATAAACATGATGGTTCGACATTTGGCAATTGTGGACATTTCTCTCCAAGACAGCCTTTAGTTCTTGCTGCCTTTTGCGTTCTACAGACGAATCGTGGAAACACTGTCTTAAATAATTTATAGTCAAACTATAATATACGCTTGTACCCGTAAACGATGAATGAGAATAATAAATAAAATTATTAACAAAAATAAAACCAGCGACTGACTTGTTTGTTCATTACACATAGTTTAAAATACTCATTAAAAATTCATAAACCTTGTGGCAAATCATGTCAGCCATAACATGTCACGTGGAATAACTTTATATCTGATAAAACTCATCTTCATTAGTATTCTTTATATAATTCTTCATCCTAATTAGTGTGATTATATAATATGATATGTCAGATAATTGGATCCGGCTGGATTTTCGTGCCAAAATGGATTTTTTTGGTCAACTTTGTCTATTTTGGGGTGCTGATTTCAAAAAAGTTAGGTACCATTTTTAGTGTGAAGTTTCACACTATTGTGATGGCTGGCGAATTCACACGAATCAGTCATACATAGAGTAAACTTTCCGGGGGGTGTATACGATTTATGTTCGTTGTGATTTATTGTACTTACTCAATACTTTGAAAGTTATTTAAGCAATTTCAGTTAACTTATTTACATATTCTGTTATCCTTTTGCCAAGTTCACAAAAATTTCGCGGAATCGCTTTCGTTATTGTAATTTGTTGGTAAATTTTAGACACTCTCTTCTCATGTTGTGTAAAGGATCTTTCCCCGGAACACCCGATTTTTTCTTTAGTAGCGCAAATGCGCATGCGCTATCAGCCCGTAGATCACGATGGCGTGACGATATGCTAGGAAGGCTGCCTCGTCCCCAGGCGCTAATAAAAAATTTCATGCGAGTCACTATATGAAAGGTTTACATGAAGTAGTGCATCATGACGAACAAGCGCAGGGAGTTATGGGCTTGAGGCATCAGAACGCTCATATCCCACTGTCCTTTGCGCGCCCCTATAATGTGACGCACTACTTCATGTAAACCTTTCATATAGTGATTCGCAAATTTTTTAATTAGCGCCTGGGGACGAGGCAGCTAGGAAGGAGTGACAGTGTTGTTTTCAGATGTATATAAAACATTTCAGACGTGAATATTGAGTAAATCTTTGAAAATCTGCGCAATATATAAATTGATCTTATGCATTACGGACGTTCAATTAAGTGTCGATAATATTTAGATGGTATATTCATTATACAGAGCTAGAAAGGAGCTAGACCGCCTAGACAGTGCAGTCAAGTGTAAAACATTTCAGACGTAAATATAGTATTGAGTCGAAAATCTTGATTCTAGGCATTCGTTTGAGTGCCGATATTATTTTCACGGTATTCTCATTATACAGAGGTACAGTACGTAGGTAGAAGCGAGACAGTGTTGTTTTCAAGTATATAAACATTTCAGACGTGAATATTGAGTAATCTTTGAAAATCTACACAATATAAAAATTGATCTTATGCATTACGGGCGTTTAATTAAAGTGTCGATAATATTTAGACGGCATATTCATTATACAGAGCATAGTTAATAGTGCCGATATTATTTTCACGGCATACTCATTATACAGAGGTACAGCCGTACAGTACGTGTAGGCAGAAGCGAGACAGTGTTGTTTTCAAGTATATAAACATTTCAGACAATGACAGGCATGAATATTGAGAAAATATTTGAGATTCTACGCAATAGTAGTAATACAATATATAAATTGATGTTATTCATTACCGTCGATATTATTTAGACCGTGTATTCATTATACATTGTCATTGACTGTATAAGGTGCTACATCACAGAATAGATGGCTATACTCAGTACAAAGAGCGAAAAATTGCATCAGATCTGTATCAGATCATTAAAGCAAAAACAACTATTATAAAACAGAAGCGGGTAAACGTTTGACGTTGCGAGACTAAAGAAGTCAGTTGAGTCTGAGCTCCTTACACAGGGCCGTAGGAAGCTCTTTTCGATTGGGGGGGGCTGAAAGCGAGGGCCGAAGGCCCGAGGAAATTTTTAAATTTAGAATCTCTAAAATGCCATTTCCTGGACTTTGGGGGAAGATTTAACAGAATTCTGATAGTCAGAAAACAGCGTTTTAGTATGTCGAAATTTACAGGAAAGTATGGGCCAGACTGTAGTATTATAAATGCGCGGCGGGAATTTTCGTCGTAAATGGCAGTTGCGCGGAAATGAAGGCAAAACATTTGAGAAAATTTC